AGATTTCGCGGCGGATCTCTGGGCACGTAGAAGAAGGCCTGATCTAAACTGAATTCACTGATTCGCTGCACTTTCGGCTTCTGTATATAATTGGTGTATTTCAACACTTCCGGTCCCCAAATATCAGGCACTTTGCCTCCGAGTACATCACTGATTGGATACCAATTGAGTTGTCCTGTTTGCTGACAGCACTTAAAGTTACCGTTACTTTGAACCAATTTGACGAAATACATGACTCTTATATTGAATTTCTGTGTCTGCGGTAACTGTAGTCTAAAGACTTGCATACAATGGGATTCATTGATGACTCGACTTGTCTTTAGTTGAAGATAAGCGTTGGGATCACCGTTGGAAAGAAGAATATAGGCGCCGTCCAAACAGCCCTCACTCCATGTCCTACTATTGGGCAGTGAAACGAATGGAAACCAAACAAAACCCGTGTCTTCCTCTCGAGACAAAACGATTTTGTTATGTTTGTCACAAACCATGACATACGCGCAGACATCGTATATGTTTTGTCCCATTGGAGGGCCGTTAAGTGATGTGAGACGAGTGGTCTCCAGTCCTGTCTTCTTCTTCTCATTCTTGAGAGTGGGTATCGATTCCAATGGCTTTGTCTTTGGGGTTACTTTGTCTTTGTCTTTGTCTCTGCCTTTCTTCGCCCCTTTCTTATCATTCTTCGCCTCTTTCTTATTATAGTCTTTATTATTGCGTTTTGTCTCAGTTTTCTTCCTCCAAGAAAACAGATTACTGAAGAAATTCTTCATACGTTTCATTAGTTCCTACAGTCTGTTGGATATCATTGGATATATCGAAATAATAAAAGAGATCAATTACTAATTGACAATTAGTTTAACAGTTTCTGTTATATATTCAAGTAATGAATAGTCAATAATCTGTTTTAATTCAAATAATAATAACAAATAGCTAGCAACTAATAACACAATGTCCAAGTTTTTAAATTCATTTAGAGGTTATATAAAATCAGTTAAATCCATTAATCACGAGATTTACAAAACCCGTTCAAAAATAATTATTTGAATAAATCTTCATAAAACAAAAACTCAAATCTTAAAACCAAACCATAAGTTATTGTGCATAACTGATATCAAATTTAACTGATCATCAAATCAAAAGACTACTCTAGAAATGACAGATCCGTTAACAGAAAGCCTAGGGATTGTCCAACGCATTAGTCGCCCATTGATGGACCCATTAGACAACAAACACACGGTTAGACCGGAAGGGGTAGACATTTACGAGCAAATAAGCGATCAAATTGGTGTCGTTCCACTTATACTACATAACGCCGTACATTCAACTGATCCCAAGCCCATTGCACCGACAGCTACGGCCTCTCCCAAGAGATCGGAATCGGAAAGACAGTCACCTACAGGTGCTCACAGAATATGGTTAAAGAGAACATTAGATGCGAGCGTTGAGAGTCCAGACCTATCAAAACATTTGGTCTTTGATATAAAGATATCACAGAATCCAATAGTTATTAATCAAGAGTTTGTTAAACAGCTAGTGATTGAACAACAGGCGCTGGATATAGATAACTTACCTACAGTTGTATCAAATGGAGACACAGGGGCCGACCTGAGCCTAATAGACGATTACATAAACCAACTCTTGGAAGAGGAATGTCTGGTTGCTATCGATCCCATACCTTATCCCTGGGCATTACCCGTGGACTTTGATATGTCTTTACTTAATGTCCAACTCGAGGAACTGGATGTGATAGCACTGGATGTTTCATTCGATGAGTTTGACAGACCCTCACAACCAATCGCCACATCACTCCAACAGATACCTGTCCCGCAAACATATGCCAAGCGTTTGCCTATAAGTCCAAGGGATCGGTTTATCGCCAATCAACTGGAGGGAATGGTAAATTGCCACAGAATGGTAAACGTATGGGAGTTCCCGACAATAGACATGTTTATACAGATGGTGTCCACTGGAGAGACAGTTCCCAGACATAGGGAACTCCGATGCTATGATAGGCCGACCCTTAACCAAGCGATGAGAAATTCACGGGAATTGGAGCACAGTTTGGAGCAGTATTTGATGGGAAAGGGATATCTCTGGGAACGATTGGGACGACTGGACAGACGCAGGGATAAGCGGTGGGCTCGTCGACAGACCCAACGAATCCATAAACTTCTCAATGATTTAAAGGATTATGTTTTCAATCATAGAAACCAATGATTTGTCCGCAAAAGGAATAAAATTTTGAATTTTATTTAGTATTTTATGAGATTAATTGTTTTTAATTATATTGTAATCACATTTTATACATTATTTTCAATTTGATATGTATTTTAGCAGAACTAGAGTTAAGAATTTGTTATAAAACTGCTGTACTTTAAATAATAACCAAAATGTTAAATAACTATACACTTTAAAGTTTAAACTTATAACTTATTTAGTTTACAATAAAAAATATGAATAAACTATAATTACTAATTCTAATGAATGAATGTATTTATGATTCATTCTCTTTGGTCTCTTTGTCGATATGTTTTGGTCCAAAACGGCGTTTCTCTGACCGTAAAGAGAGAAACAATGGGTTCGAGCCATTCATTTGGCATCCAATGGAAAGACCACAGAATGAGTGAATCAATTGGTCCGCAACACAGGTATTTATAGCGAATTGATTTCAAAGTAACCGATTTTATGATAGCGTCCACCACTTCGTAAGGCTTATCACGACTTGAATTTATATTCCTTTCAATATATGAACGAAATTTTTGGTAATAATTTTCACCGAAGTCTGACTTCACTTCAGGTTTAGTTTGATTCCAGTGTTTATCCAAATCTCTTACAATTCTATCAGTCATTGCATTCCTTTTAAGTTTAGAAACAGTATATTAATTGTATTTTTGAAAGCTATTTGTAAAAAACTAATTACTTGTAGGCCTGGGGTATGATTTCGATGACATCCACTCCTGTGTTATACAATTCCCGACGCAATCCATCGGTCAATGAAGAGACGGCCGCTTTGGACAACGAGTATACAGTAGTTCCCGGCGCTGAGAACAGTGAGGCAACACTTGACACGTTAATTATACGACCTGGTACAATTAAAATAAAAGTATATTATACTAAATCAAATACATAAGTTTTTATTTATAATTGTTTGTTTGTTACCTCTAGATCTTCTAATAAGTGGTAAAAATTGTCTTAAGACACGAATATATCCTAAAACATTGACTTGAATAATAGTTTCCAAGTGTTGCATAACTCCCCACTCGAGTTCACCACAACCATAGACACCGGCGTTGTTCACAACTGACCACAACTTTGAATGTCTGGATTCACACTCTTTGACCACTGATTCATATGCTTTCGAAATATCAGTTTCACTCAAAACATTCAATTGAATAGTTGTTATGCCATTTGATTGCAGACTAAGAGCTCCATCGCTATTATAGTCGAGAACAGTGGCCAACACATGCCATCCCTTGTCATTCAATTGGATAGCAGTGGCGTAACCGAAACCAGAGTCACAACCAGTTATCAAAACTGAATGACCACTCGCTTCAAGACTTTCATTTGGACACAAATATGGACTCAATTTATCGGCTAATTTCCAACTCATATAAGTTATAAGTATTGAAATACTAATTATTTGATATAAATTCACAACAAATGGTATGAAAAGTGTTGAGACAAACAATATTAGAATGAATGCAAATAAGATAAGCAAAGAAGTCATCATTAATATCAAGTGTTTGGTTCAAATGAATGCTGAAATTGGGTCAAAGTTT